AAAAAAAAGGCAAGAGCATAATTGATGACAAAGTGTTGGTTCAGTCCACAAATAACCCAAAACAACTCATACCCAAGGTATGAACTCATCAACTCCAGCAACAGCAGTGGAAATTACAGTGGAATGTACAGTGAAATGAAAGGAAGATGAAGAAAGCAGACAACACCAGAAGGAATGGCAACACTGACAAAAGTCTGCATTATTGAAAGAGGGGAAGTCATGCCAAGTATCACAAGAGCTAATGAAGAAGCAGAACAGCAGCAAATTCTAAAAATCTTAGATTCCAGATTTCTATACAGTCAACTTCCCCTTCAAGTCAGCAAGAAATCACTTCAGATTTCAGGATTGGCAGAAATAGTCTTTCAGGCAGAGAGTGTATTTTTTAATAAAATTTCTACATGATTATTGAAAATAAACAACATATCTCCTAAAATACCTATCTAGTATTGCACACTAACACTGGATAGCAGTTTCTAAATAGGAGACTGCACTTCAAGAAATTATCTGGGGGCAGCCAATTGAGTTACTAATTTCTACTATGTGTAATAAATGGCCCTGTAGCTTTATATTAAAGACACTACAGATCCCAAAACTTTTTCTGTATCCTCTTGAAGTCACACCTGTTCAGAGAAGAGCAATCAAGAGGAAAGCTGATTTTCAATCCAGGGAAAGGCTACAGGGAAGAACAGGGAGGAAGGGAAGGAATGGACAAGGACCTATGGACAGTGGATGCACTTGCCAACCCTGTGCTGCAGTAACAAAGGGAGCAAGTCCCACAGCAGGGGTTTTAATTGCGACTGCCCTGCTATTTAATAACCCCGTGAAATCGAGCTGCAAGCACTAATGAGTAAGATACCTCATCAGGCCTCAATTGTAATTATTTTTGGGTGTCTTCTGGCCCCTTAATGAACCACACCAGAAAACATCTTGGACATCAAAGGTTACTCTCAGCACAGATTCACAAGCAAAGATAAAAAAAAGCTGCTGCTCCACACACAGCACTGTGCTCATATCCACCCATTGTGTACAGAAGGCTGCTCACATCATCTCTGCTCCAGGTAAAATGTTCTCATGGAGTGGCCTTGCAAAAAGCTGCTTATTTCTCTGAATGCCAGCTCTGCCCTCAAGTCTATTGATCAACTTATCCTCCCACTTTGTGCACATAGAAAGCAGTAAAAAGACCAATATATTTTATTTCCAGAATCAATACAAGCAATGTGATATAGCTACCACAAAAACTGAGAGATACTCCAGAAAACAAGAATTTACTTCCTCTGTAAAGACAATCCTTAATTAAGGGTTCCCAAAGCAAGATAACCATTCCTTAAAAATGAAGGCTAGATGATAAAAAAAAGTGTAACATATTTTTCAAAGGAAAAAAAATCTCAAGGGGACTCCATCTTCCCATCGCTGGCAAATTCTGTTCCCTACTGAGCCCCTGAAGAATTCCATCACTCCCTCCAGAAAGCTGTTCCCAAAGAGAAGGGGTGGGTGGGGGGGAGGAAGGCGGGGTGGAGGGGTGCATTGGAATTTTTGCTCTTCAAAGGAAAGTTTTCTCTGGGGTTTTAATATGGAGCTATTCTAAGTTGAATTGCAGAACTCTAAGTCTCAATGGTGAGGAAGCATCATTTATTACTAGCTTTGTCTTTCAGTGGGTGTGTTCCTTCAAAGTAGCAGGATGTGAGTGTAGAAAAAGACACAGCAAAAACTGGAAATCTACAAAATTCAAGTTGCTATATGAGACAACTAAACTGAAAATAAAGCTAGTTGATAGTATCTTCATCTACATTTCACGTCCTGCAGTGGAACATTATTTTCTGTGTTTACAAGGTCTTTTATAAAGCTATAGGACTAAACAGGTAAAAAGAATGTATGTTTATCTTATTACCTCTTAGAATATAATTTTGGCATAGCCTTGGCTCATGAGTGAGACAACTCCCATTTTCTATTTTCACTAAGGAAAATGACAAAGTCAGGACTCCAGTATAGGAACTCCTGTGTTGTTCTTGAGTCTGTGCCAAGTGTTAAGAGGCCTTCAAGAGTCATTACATGTCATTTTATCCAAGCTATAGTGGAGAATTAATACAAATTTACTCAACCCATTAATTTTAATGCAAACATTAAACCTTTTTGATATAAAGCACCTGAACCATGGATCTTACTTACTTCCAAGGCATTTTGTAATAATCAAACAGGGAAAGGCAAGACCAATAAAATAGTAAATTCCAGTTGCAATTTCACTACAGCAAACTAACCTCCTTTCAGTGAAAATTGAGGTGCTACCAGCAGGATTCCCAGAGGACCTGTACTATTTCTGTATGACCTAGGAAAAGGGGTTGAAGGAGCAGAGTGATGGTGTTTACCTGCAATACCTAAATACGCTGCAGTCCCTCCCAGCCCTGGCTGAAGAAAGGCACACAGAGGGGTGTAAAACAATACCACAACTGCCTAAACAACAAAATGGGAGGTGAAATTCAGGAAAGAGTAAGTGCAAAGAAATACCCCTTGGGGAAAAAAAAACACCTTCTTATACAGTGTTGTCTTCTAAATTGGCTATTATCACTTTAGAAAAAATAAATAAATTAGTAAATACAGGCTGTTCTCTCAAGAACTTAATCTCAGCATAGCAGAGGAAGCAACTAAAGTGTCATAAATCACTAAACAAGGAAAGGCAACACAGAATACATCACCCTGCCAGCATACAAAATCAGGATATATTTGTACATTACAATACTGTGCTTCTGTTTGCCTTACCTTGATCAGCAGAAGCAGAAAAGCTGCATAGAAGTGCAGCAGGAATAACTAGAATCACGAAATAGTATCCGTTGGATAAACACTAAAAAGACTACAATTCTTCAATTTAGGAGGGAGAGCGTCAGCTGAAAAAAATGCATGCAAGCAAATGCCAGACATTTTTTAGAAATATGACAAGGAAAACTACTGGGAAGTGAGTTTTCACAATACAGTCTAGGAGACACTGAAATCACCATCAGAGGGTTTTAAACAAAAGGAAGTTCCTTTTCCATCTAATCAAACTGCAGGACTCGCTGTTACAGGATGTTGCAGAGGCCAAAAGTACAAATGGCTTTTAAAACAAGATTACATAAATTAATGGCAAATGTGTCCATCCATCCGCACGTATTACAGGCAGTGGTCTAGATACAACCTCTGTCTCAGAGCTCCTGAATTGCCAGAGGTAGATGGTATAGGAGAACATCATTTTATATACACTTTGAAGCTTTATATACAGAATAATTATTGATTATTTACAACTACATAATAGTATAAACACAGATGACAAACACTCGTGTGAGTCAGACATTTGATAAGAAAGAACTCCTACTGAGCAAACACAAGAAGGCAGTTGGCTAAGAACCTAAACCAAATTAGCCAGAGTGCAAAAAGTGTAAGCTTTGAGCAGAGTGGGTCTTCAGTATCAGAACAATAAGAACAAATGGTTTCAAATTTTAGGGGTTTTTTAATACTAAGACCGGATACTCTTCAAAAACACTTGGCTTTAATCTACAATCCATGGCCTAGCATCTAGTTCATCCAGAAGGTCACTTCAGATGAACACAACTCCATCTGGCTTCAATTTACCACTAGATATATGGTAGGGATGGCCAAGCTGACATCTCCCGAGAGGCACATGGCTCTTATCTCTCTCACGCAGTCCTTGCGGAGGACAGGCCATTGACAGGGTGCCTGCAACTGCTGCACCTGGCAGAGAGCAGCAACTGAGGCAAGGCTTGTCCTCTGCTCCCCTCCTGGGGCAGCCAGCCTCTCTCAGCACCTGCTCCTTCTCCCTTCCCCTCTCCCGCAACAGGAAAGGAATAGACCGCTGCAGAACAAGGTCCCCAGGGGAGCACAGGCAGGATGGAAGTGGGCAGGAGCAGCAAGCTCGTGTGGGGAATACAGACAAAAGAAAATGACTAGAAAATAGATGGAAGAAATAAGGATTTTAAACTGAGAGCTGCAGGTTTTTGATTTATTCAACAGCTTGGCAAAATACATAAGCCTGACTCCTACCAGTTCAAATGTTCCCTCCCCACGCTTATCTTTTTTAATATGGAGCGGGTAAAATTCTTCATAAGTAAAATAAAACTGAAATGTACAACAAATAATATTTGGCCAGATGCTTGTTACAAATTTACTACATAAATAAAGTAAAAATATGTGAAATATTAAAAGTAAAGCACTTTTTGGTAGTTTGTGACTTTGAAACAGCATATTTCATTTTTCTCTCTGTCTTGCAAGTAAAGGATAACTATGTCTGCTGCACTATGCCCTTTCAGTTCAGAAGTGGACCCAATATCATATATAACAAAAATAGTTTTGGAGGAAAAGCATGAATCCCATACAAGTAATTGACTTTAATTTCTTAAATCAGTCTTGTGAAGTGTACACATGCTTTGTATCAGCAAGCTAGGAAAGGACTGTGCTATGAGCATATGCACACATGAATGTTAAAAACAGGCAACTTGGGTGAAAAGAGGAAAGAGGCAGCAGCACAGACTTAGTAAAAGTGACTACGGATGACCAAAGTTACCTAAGGCAGGAATATTTAGAACAGTTACATTACTGGCATATTTGACTGCAATGATCCTTTAGGGAGCAAATGACCACCAGTAGGAAGATAAGACTCCCAGTAACTTCATTCAGACATGCAATAAGCAGGACTTATACTGACAGTGCCATTGCTGGAAATAATATTTTAACAGATTGCAAAATTTGGCTTGTTTTGTATCTTTTCTATTTCAAACTGCAGTATTTTTTTTTCCATGGGAGACCTGAGGTTGGCAGGCACCCCTGGAGATCATGTGGTCCAGCCCACTGCTTAGAGGTGGGTCACCCAGAGCAGGCTGGGTGACCAGTGATCAGGTTTTGAGTATCTCCAAGGATGGAGACTCCACAACCTCTGTAGCAACCTGATTCTTGGGTCATCACAATGGAAAAAGCATTTTTTACATTTCAGTGGAATTTCTTGCATCTCAGCATACCCACTGCCCTGTCACTGAGCACTGCTGCCGAGTCTGGCTCCCTCTCCTTCACTCCTCCTGTCAAGCATCTGTACACACTGGTACTGTCCCCTCACACCTTCTCCTCTGCCACAAAAACAGCCCCAGCTCCCTCAGCGTCTCCCTGTATGACCTGAAAGAGCAAATCCACCACTATGAACAGAGCTACTGCCTGGCTGATGCGCTGTCATAGAGGGGCTAAAGCACACACAAATGAGGTTAAGCCAAACAGAGGTACCATTCAGCCAGCATCTATTTCACTGGGCATCATCCAGTGTGCCAGCTGAAAAGGAGTCAGTTTAAGATGCCCTTATCAACTGGCCACAGTTTCCTTTCTCACAGCAGTAAGGCTGCATGCCAGCTGCCTGAACAACAATGCAGCAAACACTGAAACTGGAAGGGCCCAATGCCTTCAGCAGAGAACAGACCACACACTGTTCGAACACAGCAGAAGCTGTTGAGGGATCTTGGCATCCACGGCAAGGTTTAGCTGCTTGAACAGATGCTTGAACAGGACAGAGAGCAGCAGCAAGAAAGATACGTTATTAACCAATGATAAACTGCTTTGGAAACCTTACACATATTGCATCCCTGGACTTTTACACAGTACAGAGCAATTAAACATATGAAGACTGCTGCCTCAAATCTGGGAGAAGTTTTTAATCTATAGCAATTTAAATTTCACATTATCGTAAGGGTCAGGCTAAAATATTATTGAAACTTTGTTTCATTTGACTAGTAACTTCAAGTCTCTTATAACTATCTAACTGCAGCCCTCTAACCTACTCAAGCAGGAAAGTAACAGACCCTGGCATACCAGGAGGACAGCAAACCACAACAAGACTATGGCCAGCAGAGAATCCTGCAGCCTCTGTCACCTAACCAAGAATATCAAGCTATCAATGGAACAAATCGATAAACTGATACTACAAGCCCTTCCTGGAAACAGATTTAAAATATCTTCACATAAAAAGACAAATTAAAAAAACCCAGGAAAAATAAACCAAACCAATCAAATACATCTAAGGCCCTAAATCTTCAGCATTTAGTGTATTTTATAACTTTACAGTCAATGCAACAATTCCTCCACTCTGCTAGGACCAAAAGGAAAAACTCTCTCAATGCATTCACCTTTGTATCATTTTCAACATCACGTTTGTTTTTGCTGAAAGCAAGGCAGTCCAGGCTCTGCTCTCACTGCAGCACACTGAAGTGACACAGCAGCATCTCCTCAAAGCTGTACATAATTTCTACAATGCAGAATGCCTTCATGGTCAAACCATGTGCCCTAAGCTGGCCTGAGACTAAATTAATGTGTAAAATTAACCCTTAGGTATTAAATAACCTTTTTCTTTAGGCCCCATTAGTAACTACCTGTAGCTACCCTACAGGTATGGACTTCATCTCTTTGTCAGAGGACTAGGCACACAACGTATCGATAACCACCCTACCTCCACACACAACCTCTGCACAGACGTGCAGGCATGCACATTTCTACATGATTCCTATTTATAACACCATATGCTAACAAAAATACTCTCAAGCAGTTTTAAGTTAAATACCAAAGAACAAGAAAGTCTTCAAGTGTAAGCAGCTGTTACGTGCATAAAAGCATTGCTCTATTTTTGACAGGCGCTGCCCTGGAACAAACAGCAGTGGATTTTGACCTGAGGCTTACGACTGCCACTTACCAGCTAATTCTGGCACCAGCCCGCACTGGAAATATGCCTGACCACCCATCATTAAGCAACAACCTTCAGAAACTCGAAGGCGTTTAAAAGAATTTCATCAGCACCAAATGACTTTCCCAAAAGGCCTCAAAGACTAGCGTTAGTCCTCCTTCTGAAGGGTCTAAGTAAGTCACAAATGCAGAAGACAAAATGGGTGTCATAAATAATGATTATTTCGCTCAGTAGTAACTGCAAAGTCAAATAACTCTATTGTTCCATTCACTAAAAATATTGGTTTCAAAATAGTGTTTTCTTAGTGAAGTGTAAAAAACATGCCAATGGATAAAGAACTTGAACTGATATAATCTGAGTATGTTGATGTCTAAAAAAACACTTGTACAGTCCTTGCATTGTCTGCAGTCACTCCCCCATTGAAAAGTAACAAAACACAGCAGCACGAGAGCCAGGGAGTCCCACGAGTGTCCTACTGAAGAATTCACTAACCAACCCACTCGGAACAGTCCCAGAATTAATTTTTGAACTGAAAAAAAGTGCTGTCTTTGTACAAGAGCTCTCTAAGGAGCCTAAAGAGAAATGATTTAGTCTCCAGACAGGCAAGAAGAAATTTTTGCTTTATGTAGAGTATCCGTTTCCCTTTTATAACAAGTTTCCTTTCTGCTGCAGGAGAAAGCCTTCATTTAAATTCCAAGTACGCTATGTACATACCTAGAGGTACAAACATACACACTAGCACCCAGTACAGAACAACACAGAAGCAACTAGAAAGACAGCATCTTGCAAAATTTCAATAGCAACCTAACCTGTTCAAGCCAAGAGCCATCAGATATTAACCAAGAACAGGCTAAATCCAACTGAATTACAAATCTAATGAACATGGTAAACACCACAGAAGAGAATAATATGCTGCCAATTTATTTTTTCAGGAAACAGCTAGCAGCCTATTCAGAAACTAAGCACTATCTAGAAAAAAGGAAAACATCTCTCAACCAACCAGTCAAGGTTACTGATACAACTAACCCAGGGATCTGAGAACTGCCGTTCAGACAGTCCTGTGACTTGGCAGGACATCACTTACAAAGAATTTCAGTCCAAGAGGCCACAGGGAAGGGAAGACAGCTCTTCCTCTTGAGCTGCAGAGCTATGGCGAGAAGAATCCAGCTTGATTCTTAGGCAGTATTAAATGAGCCCATTCTGTGCAGAAGAGACAGCATAGAACATCAAAGTAGCAACATGGTCAAAAAATCACTGATATCACTGACAGGAAGAAATTAATTATCCACAGTGTACTGAAATCACTGATGAGCAAAAACCACAATGTTACAGGTTCCTTATCTCCAGAACAGTAACAACTGAAAAACATGAACTCCTGTTACAGTCAAAAATGGCCTGGAAAAGCAAGCAACAAACCAACCCAGAATTTCATACAGCTATCCTAATGCATCAGGCAACAGAGAGGAAATGAGCAGGACATGAAATGTGAAATAGTACTGAAACTGCCCATATCAGACAGAGTCCCCAGAGAACAAGTACTGGAGCTGGCACAAGGGGATGGGGCTGAGCAGGGACCTTCCTTACCTATACTAAACAGTAGCAAGCTGCAGCACACTGTTCATGGCAGATGACGCCAATCCAGCTCTGTCTAGAAACCAAGAAGTCAAGAACATCTTTGATGCTAATAAAATTTTAGAATAATGGATAGGAAGCCAATAAGCTTAAGAGTAGATTGGTTTTGAAGCTGGGAGTGTGGGGGAAATGAGTTTTCATTTGGAGAAAATATATGTTTCCACGGTACATGTTACATGGGATCACCTGGTAGGTAGACAAGCAAATTTTCTGTAAAAATTGTTGAAAGAAAGATTCTTGGAGGACAGAATAATGTGTTTCTGATAGCATGAACCAAGTCTTACACTGAACACAAAAGAGCAAACAAAGAAAAGCTAAGAATAAAAAAAAATATGTACCTAGTGAAGATTTCTTACAATGTGTTTGAATTTTCAAGGGCAAATTTTGGGAGAATCAGACTCCAAGTGCTAAACTAAGGCTGTAGTTTGGCAAACACTTTAAACTGGCATAAATTTGCATTGCTGCTGAAAGAAAGTTTCACCATCTGCCAGTCCTCTGTGCCAGCACAAACATCCGAACACTGAACCAGGAGCATTTCTTTCGCCAGTTTATTTTTCAGATGGATCAGTTCCCCAAACCAGTTCACAGGATGGCCACGTAAATACTTGTGCTGGCAAAGAAGAGAGACTACTTCTCCAGCACTGCCAGCCCAAAATGTTCATTGAACTGCAGCCTAACACACAGGGGTGTGGAAAAGTTCTAGCAGTCACAGGTGGTGCTCCCCACCCTTGGACACACTATATTCATATCACACTTCAAAGGTGCAGTCACCACACAGCTGCCCCTCAGAAACCAGCATATCTCTGTAATTTTCTCTACCAGGAGAACCTGTCAGAATCTCAGCAATGTTGAAGTTGGCTGCAAATAAGAATCTTTTCTGGATGCTGCAATGCTTCTCAATCAAAAGATCACTTGCAGGAGAAACCCCAGTCAGTCTTCTGATCATCTGCTTCAACTGGGACCCAAAAGGCTTGCACATGAGGAACAACAAATGGAAACTATAGTCATCATATGTCAGGGCTCTACTGCAACAGGGATTTAAGGAGTGTGTGTGGGCTGTTTTGTATCCGTGAATCACCACACAATCCTTCACTGACCAGCACACTCATCTACAAGAGAACAACATCACCAACAGAAACACTGCTGTCAGGGAAAGGACCAATAGGTAAGGAAGAGCATTGGTCATATTCTGTATCAAGGTCAGGCAACACAAGTGAGTACTGGGAGACTGAGCGAGACCTACCCACACCTTCCCACAACTCAGTGGCAAATTCAAACCCACACATGAGGTCATTACTACATCACTAGGAACCAATTAGATCAGTAAGCTTTCTACCAAGAAGTAAATTCAAGGTGTGATAGTGAAACAATCTCCAGAATGATACAGGAGGACCAATGTAACTGCACACAACACAAGCAAACTGAAGGGAAGCCCCCCCACTTTACAGACATTTGTAAGCCCAGATCTCCAGTCACAGCTCTTGGGTCCTTCAATCAGAGCTGCACACCTGCCCCTGTGCTCACTTTCCTTTCTTCTACCAGAGTTTTGCCATCATCATCACTTTCCAGTATCTGCTTGGTTGCCAAATTCTTATTTTCTACCTCTAACTTTTCCTTTGTCTTGCTGCCACACATGTCTACAGTTATATTTTGTAGAATAAGATATAATGGAAAGAATACGCATAAA